AGAGAGGAATGGCATTTTCCCAAGCTCTAGGTTCTATAACAGAGTAAATTTAAGGCCTAAATGGAGAAAACTAATAAATCAATTTTGTAGTTGACCAGAGAGAGAAACAAGATGCAATTACACCAAACAGCATCTGAAACCTGGGATCACCCAACTTAACCAACAAATAAAAAGTTGTGAGTGTGGGAAAGTAAATCCAATCTTTTTTTTCTAATTTTCTAGCTACATTTAAAGAAAATTAACTAGGAAAATTGTTATGGAATTAGCCCTTCAAGCCTTATTAGGCCATGCAGATCAATTATGTCAGTTCTAAAACTGTATCATAATTTTTCCAGCATGTACTTTCATTACAATGAAACAAAAAATGTAGCGAATGAGGCTCTGGGTTGAAGTTCTCCATTTATTTTGTACTCACTATGGAGAGAAATACTAATGTTTAGGAAATAGTCATGTCCCTTGGAGAGTTCAGACCTCATAAAATTCAGATATAATTTCTGCTGACAGCAAATTATTATAGATTCAAATCTCATGAATATTGTATACTTTATAGGACTACTTTAAAAAAAGCATATCCATTTACTAAATGGGTTTTAAATAAGCTTGTGATCCTAATAATTAGATCTGTCTAAGATACATTGTATTCTCTTATAAATAATTTTCTAAAAACCATTTGGAGTCTGCTTTTAAGACCAGAATAGGAAATAGAAAATTAAGCCTTAAATGCCGCTTGTGATACAACGATATGTATTCTGATGATTATAATAATACCACAAATTCAAAGGCCCAAATAAATGACCATGTTATTTTCAGAGTCAGCAAGTTATGAGTCTGATAAGATTCCAATTTCAAAGTCAGTGACCACCCATCCAACATTCAATATTAACTCTTTAGCATACTTGATAAAAGTTAAATCTGGGACCTTTTTTAGGGAAAACACAAATTCATAATGAGGTAATTAAAGATCACCCAGAGCAGTAAGGCAGAAAAAGCAATAAGGCAGAAAAAGCAATAAGGCATAGAGTATCTGCTATGAGATACACCCATAGCAGAGCTGCCTCATCCTCCGAAACTCAAATTCACCAACCAACTTAGCTGGAGTGCTTACAGATCTCTCTTCCCCCCTGCTCTAACTCTAAGAGTGGCTTCTCCCCCTCTCTAAGACAAACCCTTTCCTAGTGTTCTGGACCCAATCTTCCTTTTAAGGACTTCTTTTCAGATATCATTTCCTTTCTCCCGTACACCATCAATACCCCTCTCTCTACTGGATCATTCCTAGTAACATAAAACATGAGTTAATATTATCCATCTAAAGTTAAAATACAACAGAACAAACTACTTGGACTCCACGCCTTACTTTTTTCTTTTTTCTACCTACTCCTATGAGACATTTACCTGTACCGTCACTGAAGCAGCCCTCACCAATGTAACAATGACATTTACCTAGCCTAAAACAATGTCAAACTTTTTATCACTTGTTGTTGGTTGAATTATGCCCCCCAGCTGTCCAAAGATATGTTGAGGGTTTAATCCTTGGTACCTATGAATGTGACCTTATTTGGAAATAGGTATGTATATTAAAATAGAGATTAGGTTATATTCAGTTGGGAAGGAGGATCCAATATGACTGGTGCTTTTATAAGATCAGAAGACAGAAACACAGGTGCCAAAGGAGAATCCATGTGATAATGGAGGCACAGATTACAGTGATAGGTCTGCAAACTGAAGAACACCAGTGATTTCCAGAAACACCAGAAGTGAAGGGAAAGGCATAGAAGAGATTCTCCCCTAGATCTTTGGAGAGAACTTGGTTCTGCTGACATCTTCATTTCAGACTTCTATGAAATAAGCCTTTCTGTGAGAAAATAAGTTCCTGTTGTGTTAAGTGGTCCAGCTTGTAGGAAGTTGTTACAACACCCAGGGGAAACTAACTCATCGTCTTATTTGAGCTCTGGGAAGCACCTGACACGGTGAGCATTCTTTCCTTTGAAACTGCTTCTTTTCCCATGTTTGTAGCATGACTCCCACTGGAGCTTTCCCCTACTTTTCTCCTACTTGCTACTTCTCAGTATCATTTGCTGGCTCTTTCACACATTCCAGATCTCTAAATGTTGGGGCTTCATAAAGTTCTAGCATAGGACTTCACTATGTTTTACCTATACTCTCTGCCTAGTAAATATCTGCAAGTCCATGACTTTACATACCATTTAGGTATTGGTATCTTTCAGATTTATATTCTAGCCGAGGCTTCTCCTCTCAGTTCCAAATCCCTATACATAAAAGACTAATCAACTTCTCCACTTGAATATCTAATAGGCATCACAAAATTTATATTGCCAGCACAGCACAATTTCAATACTGATTCCTAAAATCAGCAATCCTCAAGAGGTCTCCTGTCACATGAGTAGCACCATCATCTACCTCAAGCCAAAGACCTAGTAGTCATCTTGCTTTCCTTTCTTTAATATTCTACATGAAATACATCAATGAGTCCTATCTGTTCTGCCACCAAAACACACACAGTATTCAGTAACTTCCTTCCATCTCTACTAGGACCACCTTGTCAGAAGAGTTTCATCTCTTGCTGGGTGATTACAAAAGCTCCATATCTTACCTCCTTGCCTCTGTGCTAGGCCTCCTTCCCACACCTTCCACCCTGCACAGCAACAGGGAGATCAATCTTTCTAAGTGTAAACCAGATTAGGTCACATCTTTAAGTTGTCCATCAACTTTCTAGTTTAGAAATGGAAGAATATAAAAATTAAAATTAAAGAACAAAATCAAAATTCCCTAAAATCTGTATGTTCTGGCTGTGACTTCCTTTCTGATCTCATCTGTCTCTATAATCCCTTTCAATAAATACATTCCAGCCATTCTGGTCTTCTTACCATCCCTTGAACATGTCATAGTTGCTATTATCTCAGAAGCTTTCAATATGCTGTTCCATTTTCTTGGGCTGTCTCTCCCTCTCAAATCATCTGTTTGGGGAGTCTCTCCCTTCAAATACTGTGACTATCTTCTTCATTTCATTCAAGTCCAACAGACGTCACCTCCTCAAAGAGATTTTCCTATACGCTGTAGCTAAAGCAACCAACCACTCTCTATTCAATATCTTTCTATTCAATTTTATACTTTTATGTTTTCCAGAGTACCTATCCAGAGCTGAAATTAATTGTGCCACTTTTATTTTGCTTACTTATTCTCTATCTCCTTCTTGCAAATATAAACCCTTGAAGGTCATGGATTCTGTAGCACCTCAGTGTCCCAGGGACTAGAACAGTTCCAGGCAGGAGCAGGTGCACAAGAAAATGTATTGAATGACTGGCAAATGGATGGGTCGTGGGTAGGAAATTACATAAGTGTATCATTTAGGAGGCTATTAAGCAATTTACTTAAAATATAATTGTAGTTTGAATCAAAGTAAATGATAGTTGAGAGGGTGACAAGTGAAGTGATTTGATTTATATTTAGGAGAAATTAGTGGTTCATTCGACATGAGTGAGAGAGGGTAGAGAGTCCATAGTAACTGACATGCTTCTAGCTGGGTAAATGAGCGGATAAGTCACTCATTGTTAAAAGAAATTGCAACAGGAGAGAAAGACTTCAAAAGACATTTGTGAGAGGAATTATTGTGTATAGTTTATAATGATTATATAGTTTTTGTGTTATAAGGAAATTGTTAAAAATTTGGTTTAAAATGTGGGTTTAGGGTTTCTAAAGCTATTTGGGTTTGTTCATTCTACTGTCTAACCATGGGCCATTTTTTTCAATCTTATGGAATCAAATCTCCACTCTTACTATAGAAGGATTTTTTTCTTGTCTAATATATGCTTTTTAATCTATATGGATGTCTTTTTAATCCCTGTCTTGTTTGATCACTAACGATCATTTGTTCCTTCTTGCAAGTCCTGTGGATCCCTTGTGCCATCACACAAGACACATGGATCCCTGTGCCATCGCATTCTTTTGCCTTTCTTCCCATCTTTTTAGCTGTTCTTTCTATTAAGAGTCAGACAAATTTCAGCCCTTTAGGTTGTAATTTACAAGGCCTTCAAGAGTCTAGTCTTTACCCATATTTCCAGCCTTACCTTTTAAATCTCACTTGTCCAACTCCTCCAAGAAACTCCCTGATTTAAGTCCAGGCTAGTTCTATTCAATTAGCTAATCAAAATATGATCTTTTTCTCTCTAAAGTATATTCAAGGTTTTTTCTGCATGTAAAATTTTCAGGGCGCTGATACTGAGAAAAATTCCAACTACTTTTTGAGAAAACTTTAGTAAAACAGACCTCCTTATACACATATAAATTTTTCATCATACTACTCCTGATTATTTTTCTCTAAGTCACTTTTTACAGTTTGAGCAAGAGTATTTGCCCTTTTTTATCCTTGACTTGGAACATTTTAAGACCTACAGAAGACTGATATTACTAATATTATATTAACAAAAGATGAGAGTAAATATATATTCCAAAAATACTAAAAACTTTACATATATGATCTAGCATACATCTTAATAAAGCAAGAACATATTATCCTTGGTGATTAAAGATTACGCCTCTCCATCATGTGATTTCTATCACATCTCCCGAGGTGGGACCACAAGGCAGACTCCAGGACTATGTTTTTAGGAAATATGAAATCAGGCAGGCAAAGGGTGAAACGTGGGGGTCAATGGATGATGTGACATGGAGGAGTATACCAGGAGGCTGAGCTAAAAAGAAGCAGGAAGTTTCCACAAAAGACCAGCACAAAGTTGGAGATGACAATCAGTCATGCATTTTCTCTACAATAGATGTATGGAATTCTATTTTTTATTCACCATTTGGTTACTTCTACAGATGTAAGTGGAAATAAAATTTTTTCTATATAATTTGTAGAATGTGTTAAACAAAGAGCCTTATTATATCCCTCATGAATTACTTCTTAGGGAAGATATTAAAACCTATATTATTGATAACAACTGTGCCTTTAATGTACTCATTTTTAGGATGTATGTACTCACGCTCACTTTTCCATTGCAATTGTCTTCTTCTCTCAGTGCCAGAGCCTTCAGAAAATGGTCTTTCAGGTCTTTACCAGCACTTGTTAATGTCCTGTAAAATGCAGGTCTTCAATTATAATATATTAGAAAACAAATATATTAAAAGCACTCAGGGGCCAACAACCGCACTTCTTTACTCCAAGTGATAATTTCCTTATAACACAGAAACTATACACACAATCATTATAAACCATACACAATTATTATAACTTACTACCTTCCTTGATTTAATTTTATACAGTTGTAGAATTTTTACAAATAACTGGTATCAAGTGCATAAATAATATATATGCCTGTATCAAAACTCAAGCCAAAAACAGTTAATTTCATTTACATGTCCATTTTATTTTTTTTATCACACCATGAAAATTCAATATATTTATACCTCTCAGAACCCACAATAATTTTAGGTTGCCTATAACTTACATATAATTTATTTATTTAATATAATAAAATTAAAACACTAGGAACCTAATCCAATTCCCTTACTGGGATAAAGCATTAATCTTAGCTTTATGAGGATATAAACAAGGGGAAAAAATTTAGGTTATCTTTGTCAGATAAAAAGAAACAGGAGTGTCTGGCCGCCTCAGGTAGTGGAGCATGTGACTCTTGATCTCAGGGTTGTGAGTTCAATCCCCACATTGGGTATAAGGATGACTTAAAAAAAAATAAAATAAAAAAGAATTCAAGAGATGTTATAAAATGAGTAAGGTAGGAATGTAATATACAGCATGGTGTAACTATATTAACTATAATTAATAATACTGTGTTGTATAGTTGAAAGTTACTACGAGTAGCTCTTAGGAGTTTTCATCACACACAAAAAAAAATTTATAACTATGTGTGGCAATGGATGTTAACTAGATTTACTAGGGTGATCATTTATAAACATATATACATATCTTGAATCATTATGTTGTACATCTGAAACTAATATTATATGTCAATTACATCTTGATAAAAATATTTTAAGGAATTCAAGAAACTAATGGCTATTCTTGGAGCAAATTATTTTAAAAAATATTGATAACATCGGGGCACCTGGCTAGCTCAGTCGGTTAAGTGTCTGACTCTTGATTTTGGCTCAGGTCATGGGATCAAACCCTGTGTCAAGCTCCATGCTGAGTACAAAGCTTGCTTAAGATTCTCTCCCTCCTTTCCCCACTTGTTCACTCTCTCTCTGTCTCGCTCTCTCTCAATCGATGAATCAATCAATCAATTCTTTTAAAAAATTGATGGTATCAAGCTACACAGAACCACATAATGAAGAGTGAGTTCAAGGGTGATGTTGGGAAGAATAATCCTTTCTTGTTCAAACAGCAATTTTCTAAATACTCAACAAACATTTTTATTATGTGTCTACTATGCACTAGAACTGTACCCGGCATAAAGATGAATAAGATATGATTCCTGTTCTCAAGTTGCCTGCCATCTCATAGAAGTATATAGATACAAAAACATTACAACGTCCTACCATGTACTAACTGTAATAAGTAGAGAGATGGATAGAGTATCAGAGTATCCTATAGTACCCTACCTGTTCAAAGAAAAGTGACTTAATTTTCACTTTAAAAGTAATTATCAGGGGCACCTGGGTGGCTCAGTTGGTTAAGCGTCTGACTTTGGCTCAGCTCATGATCCCACAGTTCATGGGTTCAAGCCCCGCTTCAGGCTCTGTGCTGATAGCTCAGAGTCTGGAGCCTACTTTAGATTCTGTGTCTACCTCTCTCTCTACTCCTCCCCCACTCATGTTCTATCTGTTTGTCTTTCAGAAATAAATAAACATCAAAAAATTAAAAATAAATAAATGCAAGCAATTATCAAATAAAATGTTAAAATATACTATAACATTATCTTGGGAGAGGGAGGGAAGACAGAGAGAGGTATCAATAACCGTAAAGGAATAAAAGAGTAGAGATTTAAAACTGCGAAGTGCTTATGGTATTACAGAGCAGTCAGAAAGTAAGTACAGGAAGTAAAGGAGAAACCATATAATACTAATAAAATACACCAGGTTTTTAGACATATGATTAAAAATATTTAGTTAATGTCAGAAGGCTAGAAGTAGAAGACCCTATACTCAAGTCCAGGTAGTCTGGTTCTAGAACCCATTCCCATAACCACTAGGCCATGCTACCTCCTCTGAGAAGGTCTTGTATGTTATGTTAAGGATTGGATCTTGTCTTCCAGGGGATGCTAACTACAAAAGTCTTATGAAATGAAATAAGATTACTAACTGTGTGTTTTAGAAGAAATACTGAGCACCTGTAAGAAACATAGCCTGGAAGGAGAACAATACTCTAGGGATTAATTAGGGGGTTATTACAAAACTTTAGCAAGAGATGACAAAGTCCTGATTTCAAGCAGTGGTGGTAAGGATATGGAAGGATAGATTTGGGAAATACTTAAGAGGGAAAGTAGATTTCTTTCTGTGATTTCTTTTTGTGAGGAAACTTACTAATTTTGTTGATCTAGAAATGCAACCGTTTCAGCTGATCAAAACTTGTCTTCCTTTTCTAGCTCTGCTGCCTTGGCTTATAGGATCAATATCAACTAATAATCCAAATATCTAAATATCCATAGAAAATAACTACTGATTAGTACCAATGAAGAAAAACAAATATTTCAGAAATTTTTCAGTCCATTGTCCTGTCCAAAAGTAAGTCTTCCATATTTCAATATAACTATGCACTGCTCTGATATTGTATCTCAAACACATCACATTTGTCAGTTGCTTGCTGAAAAAAGAAAAACATGCATGTTTTTCCTCCATTGTTCACAGGATAGTCTAATCACTTGGTCAGTTTTCCTACATATGGTCTGTATTTAAAATGAGAAATTCTCCATGAAGTTTAAACAGAAAATTAGTTTTATGAATGCATGTCATGACTGGTTGGACTACACTATGGGTAGTTACAAATCACAGTGGCTTATAAAAAAGATTGTTTCTCAATAGTGCTATGCATCAATAACAGGTTGGCGGAGGCTCTTCATCTTAGAGGAATGAACTGAGAGGCTGAAGAAACAGTCTCCATCTGAAACATCTTTGGTTACCGTGTAAAAGAAAAAGAGAATATGGCCACACATTGGCTCTTAGGGAGTCCACTTGAAATGAGAGTAGTCACTTACACTTTCATTTTATAGGCCAAAGAAAGTACCATGATCCAGTCTGAAATCAGTGAAATGGGAATGTATAATCCCGCCCAGGGAAGAGTAGCAAATATTTGTAAATGGTAGCTCATATGCCCCTTGCACCCCATAGCATAATCAAACCAAGGTTGAGAGTAGATAGCTCAGTAAACAAGAGCAATAAAGAAACAATTTCAGAGTGAAATTCAAAACTACAGAATATTTGTTAAACAATGTGGTTTATTGCAATATAACCAAGTACAGACCCTCTTGAAAATTAAGATCACTAACTTTAGCTCTGAAACAGAACCTCCCCACCCCACTACATACCAAAAGAACATTCTAAATATCACAGTTTATGGAATGAAATAGACTGGTACATGGTCTTCTGTGGTACCTGTTTACATATGTTGCTTTTACCTTCCCATCAACCCTTCCCTTTGCATTGGTAACAGAACCCTGATTTTTATTTGGACAATCGTCTCTGCCACATTCTATACTTTGATATAACAGTCAATCAAGGTACCCACTAGTGTTAAAAACTCTCATCCCCCAAACCTTTGTTAATGAATATGCCTCGAGCTTGACCAATGCCATTTCACCTCATGAGTTTGTACACCATAAACAGAGAGACACAAGAATGAAAATCAGTTGGAGTTATAGTGTCTGTTTTTAATTCCTACTACAGAGCTATTACATTCCTACTACATTCAGCCTTTTCTTCCTATCCAATAGGAAGGTAATAGGTATTGGTACTCTTCCAATAAATTCATTTTTTATTTAGAATTTATTTCATTAGAATTGGTTTCCAATACTCACAACCAAAACCTATATATCAGTTATATAATTGACCAATGACATATAACAATGACATAATTGATATGCAGCTTTTGGTTGTGAGCAACCAAAAACAACTATCTTATTTTTTTGACAGATTCATAATTTTATTATATGTGTATATATATATATATATATATTTTAATAGTTTATTGTCAAGTTGGTTTCCATATAACACCCAGTGCTCATCCCCACAAGTGCCCATCACCTCCCCTCTCGTCCTCCCCACCCTCATCAGCCCTCAGTTTGTTCTTGGCATTCAAGAGTCTCTCATGGTTTGCCTCCCTCTCTCTCCCCAACTATTTTTCCCCTTCTTCTTCTCCTCCATGGTCCTCCATTAAGTTCCTCCTAATCCTCCTATACGTGCAAACATATAGTATCTGTCCTTCTCTGCCTGACTTATTTCACTCAGCATAACACCTTCAAGTTCCATCCATGTTGCTACACTTGGCCAGATTTCCTTTCTCATTGCCATGTAGTATTCCATTGTATAGATAAACCACATCTTGATCCATTTGTCAGTTGATGGACACTTAGGCTCTTTCCATGTTTTGGCTATTATTGAGAGTGCTGCTATGAACTTTGGGATACATGTGTCCCTATGCATCAGCACTCTTGTATCCCTTGGGTAAATTCCTAGCAGTGCTAGTGCTAGGTCATAGGGGAGTTCCATTGTTAATTTTTTGAGGGATGTCCACACTGTTTTCCAGAGGGGCTGCACCAGTTTACATTCCCACCAATAGTGTAGGAGGGTGCCCGTTTCTCCACATCCTCGCCAGCATCTAGAGTTTTCTGATTTGTTCATTTTAGCCACTCTGACTGGTGTGAGGTGGTATCTCAGTGTGGTTGGGATTTGTATTTCCCTGATAAGGAGGGATGCTGAGCATCATTTCATGTGTCTGTTGGCCATGTGGATGTCCTCTTTGGAGAAGTGTCTGTTCATGTCTTCTGCCCATTTCTTCACTGGGTTGTTTGTTTTTTGGGTGTGGAGTTTGGTGAGTTCCTTATCGATTTTGGATACTAGCCCTTTATCTGATATGTCATTTGCAACTATCTTTTCCCATTCCGCTGGTTGCCTATTAG